TCTACTAACAGACCCGCAGATCTAAAAGCCGACAACTTTCTCATTGGATTCGAGGACATCACTATTATCGATAAATATGTCCGCCAACAAGAAGCTCATCCCGCTCCGCATGTACTCCGGAACGGACGTCCTATATACGAATCTAGGAACGACTTCGGCCCACCCAAAAAAGGAGTAGGCATGCTGAAGATATCCGACTTCAGTGCTGCCGTCTTCGGGGATGTACTGACTCCGCATAACCATGACATCCAGCCTCAGCCATTCTGCGCCCCTGAGGTTCTGTTGAAGGCTGGGTGGTCGTATAGTGCTGACATCTGGAATTTAGGGACAGTGGTGAGTCAAAAACGACACATTGTTTCGTCGTGATGTATATATACTTACGACTAGTGCTATGCAAGCTTTGGGAACTGCTCGCTGATGAGACGCTATTTGATGGGTTATGTGAACATCGAAGGAAATATTCCAAGGAGGTGCATGTCGCGCAGATGATTAGACTGCTGGGGGGGCCTCCCCCCTCACGGTTTCTGGATAATTGTGATCCGTGTATACGGGATGGCTTGTTTTCGGCTCAGGGTATGTTATAATTGGTGATTGTGATGGGGCTGTGAATTACTAATTGTTGGATGTGTGTAGGGACATTCAAGTTCCCTGGGTTGATTCCGTCGGAGGAATTCAATTTCTCGAATATGACGCCCTTTCTAGATGGAGAGGATAAACGCTTGTTTATTGGATTCGTTAGGAGAATGCTCCAGTGGGAACCGGAGAGTCGGGCGAGTGCGAAGGAGCTCTATAATGACCCTTGGCTTTGTTATGAACCTTAGGTATATGGTCTTGTCATGATATATTTGAATCTAGTCTTGTAGTATGGTCATATTTATGGCATCATTTTGGTATCCTTCCTAGTCATCAATCATAGCAGGCTGTACATGGTTGCGCCAGATGCATTCCCGGCCGAGCTTACTCTTCATGGGTCACCGTCATATCCAGCACCTCCACGCGTCCTCTGCCCCGGGTCTCGTTACCCACGAACTCATTCAGTCCCTTGAAAGCTCCCGGCTCCGCAAAGCCAATGACCTCCCACTCGTCTCCGCCGACAACCTCCTGAGCCTCGATGGATTCGATGTAGCTCAGGATCTTATCCTTGACATTGCTCGGGCCCTTGGCAGGTGCGGATTCTGCGTCAGAACCGCCCGCCTCATCCTCGGACTCCTGCTGACGAGCCTTCTTGGACCCCTTTCCACCCTTCTTGTTGGACTTGGAGCCGCCCTTGGATGGCGCCTCCTTTTCCTTACCACCCGCGCCAGCACCACCGGCCGCGCCACCCTTGACACTCTGCTTCAACAGTGACACAGGACAGGTAACGCGGAGACGCATCCGCGCCCGCATCACAGGAATAGGTTGCCATGCAATAAGCGCCTTCATGGCCTCAAGCGCTTGACTCTTCGCGGACTTGTTAGCAGTCACACCCGTCCAGAGCGGTTTCCGCGGGCGGCTCTCCTCGCTGTTATCCCCATCCGTCTCCCCATTGCCGGGTGTTTGCGATTGTTGACCACTAGCCGAGCTCAGCTGGTCCAAGGCCTTGGAGATCATTCCGGGGGTATAGACTCGTTTCGTCGTAGGATCAACCAGCCGTCCTGATACAATATCCAACACTTCCTTCTCCACTCGCTCGATGATTTCCTTCCGCTCGCGCTCGCCAACCTGCACTTCACCCTTTCGTAAAATTTCTTGCCGGATCTCATCTGCAGGTGTGTCGGCGCCGAAGGCCTTTGTTAACTCGGCGGATGGGGCTGTTTGCGCTTTAGAAACGGACAGGAAGATCGTGGGGACTTGGAGAACATTGTCGAGATCCTTCTCTGCACCGGAGCGATATTCGAGGAGTTTGTTCTTGTAGCAGGCGAGCTCGAAGCGCTTTTTACCTGTTCGTTGAACGGTTAGCGGGGTTGCGGGGCCGATTGGAAGTTTCGCAAGAAGTTTTTCTTTCTACGCCTGAGATTTGCGCATGATCTCCCCACATAACTGATAGACATGCCACCCAAGACGATCCCAAATGAAGGGTCACACATGTATAACAGTACGTACCCTTTTTTAGCCTGACGACTGATACATTGGTAAATTTGATCTGGTTTGATGGTTGGTTGATGGGCATGTTGCCGGAAGCCTCTGCGACAAAGCAAGAGGCTCTTGTGTATAGACGGACTCAATCCAGACGAAATATGAATTCGGTATACTCGCAGTTGAGTCAGTGAGGAGATTATGTTTCGAATGCGCTGAAGAAATGCTGTTGACAGCCCAAGGCAGTCACCCGACGGGCCTGTGATTGGAGGAAACCGCAATGACGCCGGTCCCGTGCCATGTGCTGACTCAGCTTCATGACTCAGCGCGTGACTTTCTGCAAAGGGAAGGCACCGGCCTGTGATTGGCCGCCTTCCGTCCCTGCTATCGAGGCGTCATCGCCTGCCTGCAGCCCATCCAGTACACCTCCTCTTCTCTCCTCTCTCCTTCCTTCCTCTCCATCCTCTTCTGGGTTTCCATTGATCACCCAGTAGCTGGTATTTGCTGAGCTTCTTGCTTTTTCTAACTTGATACTTTTGTGTCCGTAAGTTCACTCCTATGCCTCTGACCACCTCCCTTGATAACCCGTGCTGATAAGCTCCCTGCCCAGGTACCGTACCTTCCAGACCGCAAGGTACCCATCCTCTACCTACTCATCCCATCGTCATTTCGATTTCATACCAACCCCGTTGGGTTCCAGCACAATGAGAGTTCTTCCAGCTGCTATGCTGGTTGGAGCGGCCACTGCGGCCGTCCCTCCCTTCCAGCAGGTCCTTGGAGGTAACGGTGCCAAGCACGGTGCCGACCATGCGGCCGAGGTCCCTGCGGATCACAGTGCCGACGGGTTCTCCAAGCCGCTGCACGCATTCCAGGAGGAGCTGAAGTCTCTCTCTGATGAGGCTCGTAAGCTCTGGGATGAGGTTGCTAGCTTCTTCCCGGAGAGCATGGATCAGAACCCTCTCTTCTCCCTCCCCAAGAAGCATAACCGCCGCCCCGACCACCACTGGGACCACATCGTCCGCGGCTCCGACGTCCAGAGCGTCTGGGTCACTGGTGAGAACGGTGAGAAGGAGCGTGAAGTCGATGGCAAGCTGGAAGCCTATGATCTCAGGGTCAAGAAGACCGATCCTAGCTCTCTTGGCATCGACCCCGGTGTAAAGCAGTACACCGGTTATCTCGATGACAACGAGAACGACAAGCACCTGTTCTACTGTAAGTCCACCTGGGTTCAAGATCACGCCTTACATATGTTCTTAATATCTAATGCAATGTAGGGTTCTTCGAGTCTCGCAATGACCCCGAGAACGACCCTGTTGTTCTGTGGCTGAACGGTGGCCCTGGATGCTCTTCCCTCACCGGTCTTTTCATGGAGCTCGGCCCTAGCAGCATCAACAAGAAGATCCAGCCGGTCTACAATGACTACGCTTGGAACTCCAACGCGTCCGTGATCTTCCTTGACCAGCCTGTCAATGTCGGTTACTCCTACAGCAACTCTGCTGTCAGCGACACGGTCGCTGCTGGCAAGGACGTCTATGCCTTGCTTACCCTCTTCTTCAAACAATTCCCCGAGTATGCCAAGCAGGACTTCCACATTGCCGGTGAATCCTATGCTGGTCACTATATCCCCGTCTTTGCTTCGGAGATTTTGTCTCACAAGAAGCGCAACATCAACCTGCAGTCCGTTCTCATTGGCAACGGTCTCACCGACGGACTCACTCAGTACGAGTACTACCGTCCCATGGCCTGTGGTGACGGTGGTTACCCAGCTGTCTTGGACGAGGGCTCCTGCCAGGCCATGGACAACGCCCTTCCTCGCTGCCAGTCTATGATTGAGTCTTGCTACAGTTCCGAGAGCGCTTGGGTTTGTGTCCCGGCCTCCATCTACTGTAACAACGCCCTCCTTGCCCCTTACCAGCGCACCGGACAGAACGTCTACGATGTTCGTGGTAAGTGCGAGGATAGCTCCAACCTTTGCTACTCGGCCATGGGCTACGTCAGCGACTACCTGAACAAGCCCGAGGTCATTGAGGCTGTTGGCGCTGAGGTCAACGGCTACGACTCGTGCAACTTTGACATCAACCGCAACTTCCTCTTCCACGGTGACTGGATGAAGCCCTACCACCGTCTCGTTCCGGGACTCCTGGAGCAGATCCCTGTCCTGATCTACGCTGGTGACGCCGATTTCATCTGCAACTGGCTTGGCAACAAGGCCTGGACTGAAGCCCTTGAGTGGCCCGGACAGGCTGAATATGCCTCCGCTAAGCTGGAGGACTTGGTCGTGGTCGAGAATGAGCACAAGGGCAAGAAGATCGGCCAGGTCAAGTCCCATGGCAACTTCACCTTCATGCGTCTTTATGGTGGTGGCCACATGGTCCCGATGGACCAGCCTGAGTCGAGTCTCGAGTTCTTCAACCGCTGGTTGGGAGGTGAATGGTTCTAAAGACGTGCTATCACCGCATATAGACTTTCTGGTCATCTCGGTGACACTGCAGATATGTTTCTTAACGATAGTTTGAGGATGCTTGTCAATGCCCATTAATCCCGAGCCTTATGTTGCATGGTATCTATGAGTTTGTCACTATAGTGCATTATGCATTTTGTACTTCGTACGAGAATGAATCGATCGCATTTACACGCCTTCAGTTAGTACCATACCGTCTGTACGTAGTGTAGAACACGAAATTTAATTAAGAGTGTCGACGACTAAGCAAAAGAACGTCTCAGTCGATATTAAAAGGTAGACCACGCCCATAGAAACCGAGCCATAACAGCCTACCCATATTTCGCCACCAAATGACTCGTACATTCGTATCATAAACCAGCAGACAAAGGAAACTTGAGGAAAGGATGGTTTGGTATTCATTCATATTGGTATGATTCTTTTCATTTCGGACACGGCATTTTCTAATATTGTTCCCGGTCCCAGGGAAGATTTCGTTAAAAAAATCCACACCAACATACACAAAAGGAATCCATCCTTCCCACGATCCACTCCAGCAAGTACGAAGAAACAAACGCAGATGATATGACCCCGATGATTGTTTTTTTAGTTCTTCTTCTTGCTGACACCGACGGTGCGTCCACGACGACCGGTGGTCTTGGTGTGCTGACCGCGGACACGGAGACCCCAGTAGTGACGGAGACCACGGTGGGAGCGGATCTTCTTCAGGCGCTCGAGATCCTCACGGATCTTGCTGTCGAGGGAGTTGGAGACGACCTGGGAGTCCTTGCCATCGGTGATGTCGCGCTGTCTGTTGAGGAACCAGGTGGGGATCTTGTACTGGGTGGGGGCCTGGAGGATGGTGACGATACGCTCGAGCTCTTCGGTGGTGAGTTCACCAGCGCTGTTAAAGAGATATCAAAGTCAACTTGATGTTCTTGTATGTATCCCTTAACCCTTCGGGGTCTGTGTATTCTCGTGGCCCTTATGTCCCCCTCTTATTGTATCCGTGTGACCAAACTTCTCTCCATCCCATTTGTTCGAAACCATCGAGGAAAGTAGTGTAGTGTGAACGTACCGCTTGCTGAGGTCAACGTCGGCCTTCTTGCAGACCAAGTTGGAGTAACGGCGACCAACACCCTTGATCTGGGTCAAGGCGTACATGATCTTCTGCTTGCCGTCAACATTGGTGTTGAGCAGACGCAGAATGTACTGGAAGTTCGTCTTCTCGCCGGACACGAGCGCTAAAAATTCCGAAGAAAAAACCGCAGTCAGCCTTTCTGTCTTGTAAAATCGGTTGTTGCCATAATGATGATGATGATGGAGCAGAAAAAATTTCAATGATTCCGTCGCCGCTGTTTCCTGCCCGTCTGTATCCGCGATGATAATTTCCTCCAAATACCCCCCAGCGATTTATGAATATTTCCTCCCAAAATGACCGGCAAAAAACGAACAGCGACGGAAATCAAAGATGCAGGGTTGGAAATCCGATTTCAGGGTCTTTCACGTACACATGATGGGCGATGGCGCGAAGGACCGCGATTGATTGTCGACAGGCGAGAGGGATGAGAAGGAGGTGAAATCGAGGCGGGCTTGCGAGTGCTTCTTCCAACTTTGCTCTCGCCCGTTGTGGGATCGGGTAAGCTGGGCTCTAGCCTATTCGGGTATGGTGGGATTCAGGGCTCGCTTGTGCTTCGGGCTATTCCGGAATAGGGTATATTATCACTTGACTGTCTTGTGCACGTGATCTTGGTGTTCCGGTACGGTATTCCGTGTATGCCAGCCATGTAGTATTTGATTTATGCCTGAGGCCATGTATGATATAGAACATCGCGGTACGACGGGATTCACCTCATCTTCAGCTTTCCAAGTGCCTCGTTAGCAGATATCTCCGTGATATGATCACTGGTGTGTTTGGAATATGCCTCCAGACCATATCTTTATTCTGAAACACCTATTGAGAATGATTTCTCCTACATTCTCCTCCGGCTGATTGCAAGGAATATGCCAGCCAAATCCGTCAAGTTGCACTCTGTACTTGACAATTTGCCTGACTAAAGTGTTCTCTTCTTGCAGATACACCCCAAATGACGGAAATTGCAGTGAAGCTCAGTATATCTGAGTCTTAATCACTGTGTAACATGAGATTCCCTGGGGTATAAGTATGAAGCAGATTGATCGGTCTCTCCACATTTTCTATCAGCAGCTGCTTTGCCTTGTGTTCCTTCCGAAAGCCAAATAACCAGTATTCATTCACCAAAGCATACTCACTGCAAAACTACTTACGGTCCTCGAAGCAATAAGCAAAATGGAGTCAGCCTCACAGCCAATTGAATATGTCGAGTGTAGGCACCCACTCTTCGATGTTGACCAGCTCGAAGAGCCTGCCGACACAGACCAACTATGCGGAAAACGCATCAAGACGTTGACCGATATGCTGCTTAACGGGGGCAGGGGCGTATACGATAAGCTGCTGGAGTTCCATGGCTGGGGTTATAAGTATAATACTGATTCTCATCCTTCCCTTCAGCCAAGGCGGGTAAAAATGGCAATCCTGATGAAAATCCTCTGGAATCAAGCTGAATATCACCAGCCCAAGTCATTGGAAGAACTCTTCAACTGGGAAAGGGACGCCGGCCCTCGATTGCTGAGACAGGGGTGTGTTCAAGGGTTGAACAATTACCTACCCATAAGTAGGTGTTCCCCTGATCCCCCAAGGGTTTTGCAAGCATCAAACTCACGGACCCGTGGGTCTGTTAGGACTTCAGGTGATATACCGGAGGAGTATGTGAAGGTTATGGAGAAACAACCATATAAAATTGGTAAGCTCGACGAAGAGCTTCTTGAACTTGCGACACCACAAGGGGATCAAACTGAAGAAGAACAAAGCGAACTCATTGAAAGTAGTACTGACAATTCGGAAGATTCCGAACATACAGAGTGGGTCCCTTCAACCAGTCCTGAGGACCAGGGAGACGAGGATGAAATGACCGACATCGAAGAGGAGGAAACCTCTGACCGTGGTGATGGGGATCCTATGGAAGAATGTTCCTCGGGTGGCAGAACACCAACTCCTACGACAAAAGTCGAAAGCCCTGCTACGCAGCATAGAGAAAGCTTCTCAGAGAGCCGGAGACCAAGTGAACAAAACACCGAAGGTGTCAGTGACCCTAACACCACAACTTCTACATCCCAGCAGTTCCGGAGAGCAGAACCAGTACCTACCCAGCATGCCCAGTTAGTTACTGAGGCAGTGCAACGTGCTGTCATGAAATTCACTTATCACGAGCTTGAACGCCATCAGACTGCTGCCCCATTGGACATGCCACGACCATGGCTGACGGCCAACTTAAATACGATGAACAATGTCCAGTACAGCTTACACCCAGTGACAGCTGAGGTAGAGCTGCTCACGGCAGACAATCCGCGACGCCCCCGGACTACCAGGTCTTATAGAGGCCGAGGCCCTGTTAGCAAGAAATACAGCGAAAGTGCGATTGGCTGTGCTATCGTCGCAGGCCGACTGCTAGATGCCGGGTCCACCAACATCGACCGCAAGCAGCCGGGCTGGCAGAATCGCTTCACACCTCTTGAGCAAACCTTCATTGAAGCGACCGATGGTCAATGGGATTTCCTCGATAGAGAAGAAAGTATTGGGCTAGTCGAATGCTATGCTAACGTGCTCCCTCAACTGGGCATGGGGCCTACTTGGGATATGCGAAGCGTCTGGCGCAAATTTACGGGCAACTTTGACCAGTTCGCGTGCTCCTACAATGAAGAGACTACTGCGCACTGTGAGTGCGGGCCATCCAGGGATAGCAGAACCACTGTGGATGGCACCCGCTTGACCACTCTGGCACCGCCTGTGCTCGAGACTGATCGGAACGGCGTGAGTATGGAGGAGGTACTGTCTCGGGTATTTGACCCTCAGCGCCAGAGAACCTGCATCAAATGTAACCACTCGGTTAACTATGAGAGACGATTCAAAACCGTCCCCATGCGCCTGGTAGTGGAACTCGGTCCTAATGTGTCTATACGGTCGCATACAAAGGACATTACCCTATCATATCGTGATGATGGTGGTGAGGGGCATAAAGCCACATACCGCTGGATAGGAGGGATATACTCATCAGCACCAGGTTTTTTGTGTCTCTTGTGGACTGGTGCCGAACGTGGGGTGCGCTGCACGAACCTGTATTCGTATGAAAGCGATTTGCACGACGGAGCCATACTTGGATTTCCCATGTCAGAAAACCACGCGGACCAAGTGCCCGAGCATTTTTGGAGGAACCAGCAGATCCCCTTGCTCTTCTACGAGCGGGTTATGAACCCGAGTATTGGCGAGCTCCAAGTAGCTGTGAGTGCAGTTAGCGGCATGCTAGAGTCTGCCTACCAGGGTGAGCTTTTCCTCCAGCAAAGTCCTGGTTGGGCCCCGCCCGAACTACCACCTCGGCAGCAGAACCAATATCCTTGGGATCGTTACATGCCTGAATGTATCAGACGCTTTAAATGTGCCAATTCGGATCTTCGAGTCATGTTAGTCCGAGGTACGCAACCCCAGGCGCAACCCCAGGTACAACCCCAGGTACAAATTCAGGCGCAACCCCAGGTGCAAGCCCAGGTGCAACGCCAAGAGCAGGCTGCACCTAACTGGCCTAGAAGAGCGCGAGCACAGCCTTACGCTCCAGCTCATCCATACGCGGTTATGTCCATGTCCCCCACACCGATAATGTCAGCAGATACGCCATCCCCTGGGACCATGATGTCAGCTTCATCGTATGTAGGTGGTGCAATGCCACCACCACCTCCTAGGACCAGGCCGATGTATATCACTAGGCCAGGATATGTGCCTCCTGCCAGTCCTGTTCGGCAACACCCCCCTCTCCATCATCCAGCTCTCCATGGGTCTTTGGCTTCCTCTCCTGTAGCCTTTCCTCAACAGAGAGTCGCTTACAGTCCGGGGATTCCGACCACCGCTCCACCCCCTTATGAAGTCGTACAGGCGATGACCAACCAAATGCAGCTGACAAACCCGAATGGTAACGCCTCTGGTGGCTATGGGCCTACCATGATGGGTCAATCCTCCTCGCCGCGACCACAACCACAGCTACCACAACCACAGCTACCACCAACCCATCCAGAGAATTGGGTGAGTAGGCCCGGCCACCATGGACCTCGCCAGTGAGGTCTTCACCTGTAGCCCCGCCAGACGCACCACGGCCATGAAGACATGCTAGCCAACCAAAATTGAAGAGCGATGGAATAAGACTCTCCCCCTAGCTTGAGTTCGGGTTTCAGATATGATAGATAGAATACAACATAGACAAGACAACTTTTTCAAATTCAAAAAGCACTTACTACTGCATCAGAATCAATAACGAAGACATACTGTCCGATATACTTTCATGGGTAGAATGCCGTCTTAAGCGGTGGTAGTTCATTTAGTTACTTAGAGAACGGATCCCGGTCCAGAAATCCGGGGAACAATGAAAAGGGGAGAGGAACAAGGTCATACCAGCACAATAACCCTTTCTCTCAATAACCGAGCAGCTTTAGTACCTCTATCCTCCCGGCTAGTAAGGATGGAATGGAGTAACCTAGCACGGCTACTGGGCTGGTTTCAAGGTGAACGCGTTGCCAGCTATGCCGGTGGGAGCCAATGACGGCCGGGCCAAAGTCAGCGCATGGACCTTTCCCCGCATTCATTGAATCCCCGGCCTTTTTCCCTTTCTCTCTTTTATGCCTCTCCCTCGCTTCTTTCTCTCTCCTTGCTTTCTTCTTTCTCTCAACTACTCGAAATGACGGGCTTCTTCGTTTCTTCATTATGAATGAACTTGAGATTTATTACTCTAGCCAATGTACACGCTTCGATCTCTATCTAGTCCTCTAAAATCCTTCTATGGTATATCAAATCATGATCCTCCCAAATATCCATCGCATATTTACAGCCTGGCCCGCACAGGTTCGGCCTTCGGCTTCTTTGGTGGTCCTGTCGGCGTGTTGCTCTTCTTGGGAGCAGAGATATAACCTCCCTTGACATTGTCGGTGTTGAGAACAGCACCCTTCTCGTCTCGTCGAATACCCAGCTCGACCAACTTCGCGAATACCTTCGCAAAGTGGTCAAAGAACAAGTCCTTGTCCTCTGCATACTTCTCCACCCACTGGCGGAAGGATGGGTCCGTCTTGAGTGCAATATCGGTGGGCAGCATCATCAACAACTCGTCTCCCTCCTCCGCATCCGGGTCCTCATATACGAACTGGCTCATGCCGTTCGCCAACTTCCGAGGAGTCCACTCCAACTTTAATAGAAGCTTGAAGAACTGATTGGAGAATCGTGTTGGGTTGTTCACCCAGGGACCTTCGAACCCACTGCGATCGGTATGGCACCGACCCAGGTTGTGTCCTCCCGCCAACGCCACAATCTCCTGGTCGTTGAAGCCCATCCGGTTGAAGATAAAGCGGAGATGGTCTGCACCCTGAGCACCATCAGGTAGACGGCCACGAGGCGGTACCTTGGAGTCGTCAACCAGGTCCGTCCGACCTGGCTTCCACTCGACTTCCGGCCCGCCCATCTCCTTGATCGCCACCACGCCTGCTAACGTCCACAAATCGGAGTATGTGATCCAAGGATGCTTCTCCTTTACAGGTTCTAAAAATGCCCGACCGTATTGAAGGCCTGCGTTTGACGGATCGCCCCCCTCTGCTTCATATCGCATGCCCGCACCGTTGCTGCCGCCCGTGTCGGTTTCGGCATCGTAGGTACCCGCGGAGTGCCTGCTCAGGGGTTAGTGGCGACTGACATGCAAGGCTTTCATCCTGGGGATAACTCACCATGCCAGCCGGACGAATACTGGACCTGCGCTTCCATCATCATAATCCGGCTTCTTCAGTTGTGCGACAATGTCCTTGCGGACGGCGTTGTAATCGCCCGGGCTGCTCATCTCGGCCGATAGATCGGTCGTCCGGGGTAGTGCGGTGGGTCGGAGATAGGGGATGTGAAAATTGTTCACGCGATGCTGGATTTTCCTCGGGGGTTGCAGCACAGAACACGGTGACTAGGGATTAGGATGAAGAAAAGAATGGTCACCAAAGATAGGGAAAGAGAACGAAATAAGGAGCGTTCCTTTTGTTGGCAAGACACATGAAGGGATGGCGACCAGTGGATCCGCGGCCCGAATTCATGGAGGGCCAGTGCCAGTGCCGAGGTTCATCGCCAGGGCGGCGAACTGGACCCGTCTTTGGGAACTCGCTGGAACTATCGCTCCCAGTCCGATTATTGCTTATCGGACTCGCTGATTGGACGCTCACTACGGTGCAGCGATTAATCGACCCATCTTCATATGAAGGGAGGCAATTTACTGGTATTCTCATTGCTATCTAGAGGAGATTGCGACCATGTGGTTTCTTCAGCACTTGGATGGAGGAAATGAGGTCATCGATGTGTGTTCTTCGCCATCCTGGCTCCTTCAGTTAAATCAATTGCCGTTACCCTCGGAATTTGGATTCCCGGTTTTTGCTCCCGCCTAGACGGGCGTACGGAATTCTAGGCTTGTCGAGTAATCACGAGCAATGCAGAGCAGCACACTTGATTGGTTCTGCATCTGCAAACTTATTTGAATTGCCCAGTGCCAGTAAGGAGAGGGCGTGGTTCAGATTTAGCGTGATGCGAATAGCAGCGCAATGAAAATAAACGATAGAAAGGTTTGCACTTGCGATTATGGGCACGCAATACTGAGGGCCGAGGGCCATAAGATCACCCGGAATGACTGCTAACCCCTTCGCATATCCCGTTGCAATATGGTGGCTCATCTGTCATAAGCTGGGTGTTGATTTAATCTATTAACTGAATAGTATTCTAAATTTGCCACTATGCAGGCGGGCTCTGTGGCTATGTCTATAATGAGCACGCCGAATTATATATGCTCCATCTCTATCGTTATCGAAATGATAAAAAACGATCATTCAGCTGCTTTTTCCAGCCGATTCTCCTCCTGGCCCGGTTTCGGTCTGCTCTTGATGAGATAGAGCACACTGATGGCAACTCCAAGCCCACCCAGTCCGATACCCATGTACAAGGCTCCGCGATACCCTTTAAGCGTATCATGGAAGGTTTGGCCACCGTTATTCACATGCACCTCGACAGTGCCCGCAAAGCCCAGCCCCAGCGAGATGCTATAATTAACGACCGTCGTGACCAACGACGCTGCAACACCCTGATGGCGACGCCCGACCGCATTCGACAAGACAACCGTGGCCGCAGGGAACGACATGTCCATTCCCCACGGAGTGACCAACAGCGTTACAAAGGCCAACGCCCAATACGTCTGATGAACCGGAGCGATAGCCGAAAATATATTACCCAGGGTGAAAGCCACCATGGCCATCAGCATGATCCAGCCGGGCCGCATTTTCGCCATGAGGAGTCCCGTCGTGAATGAGGCCGTCAGTCCGGACAAGGCCGGCGGTATGAACTGCGCCGATGCCAGCAACGGCGATATGCCTCGGATATTCTCCAAGAACCGCCAGAAGTAGTAGACCCAGATGCCGAAACTGGCCCAGCCACATGCAATGCAGCCCAGGATAAAGCAGACGTCGAGATCCAGTGCGTGGAAAGGGATGAGTGGCTTGGCCGCGTACTTGATCTCCCAGACGAAGAACATGGCTAGAATCAGGGCTCCGATGATTAGCAGGACGTATACATATGCCTCCTGCCATCCTACCACGGGTGCCTGGTTCCACGCGATGTTGATCAGGACCAAGCCTGCAACTCCGAAGAATGCCCCGGCCACGTCTAGTTCAGACATCAGCTGCGCAAGCGACATACCCTGCGCGACTGACGGGGAAGGAGGAATCGCAAGGAGGGACATGATCGCCAACACAAAGCAATAGATCGCCATGGCCCAGAAAGTCCACGGCCACCAAGCGAGCTGGGAAAACAGCGACGCAAAGATGGCTCCCAAAACGGCGCCGTTTGGCGCGGTAGCCCCGAAGAGCGAGAAGACCATATACTTCTTCTTTCCCGGTCGGTACGTCGCACCCAGCAGGGCCAGGCCATTAGGAAGGAGCATCGCAGGCCCGATGCCTTGCAAGGTACGCGCAAAAATGAACAGGATGTAGTTCGAATACACACTCACCCCCGCCACCAGGGACCAGATCGCGAACCAGATCCACCCGGTGACATACAAGATACGGTATCCGAAAATATCGCCACAGCGGCCGAAGAATAGAATGAAAGTGCCGACAGTTAGGGAGTACCCAGCGATTAGCCAACTGGAAATACCAGGGTTGGTGATGCCGAAGCTGTCGCTGATGATCTCAAGTGGGGCGAGGGTGTTTCCGAGCGCGGCCTGCGTCATGAACTGCGACATGCAGACCACAAAGACGAAGACGAGCTCATGAAGAGGCGAGAAGGTCTGAACGGCCGAGCGGATGGATTCTGATCGCGAAAGTGTGCCTTCGAGTGTACTGTCTGAGGAGGCCATTTCGGCGGTTGTATCTGTCATAATGATGATCGTCGTCGGGAAGCTTATTAGCAGCTGTTTAGGACGGGCCGTTGAAGTGTATGCCGTCAGCCACTATGCATGAAGAATCAGTAAAGTTCACCCCAGGGGCTTCCCAGAGTGATTTGGGAAGGTCTTCCTGAACAAGAATCAGGATTAAGGTTGACCGTTGAGCTGATGTCACCTCGGGTGGGAAAGAAAAGTTACAACGTGGGAAAGAGAAAAAAAAGTGGGAATAAGTGGGGACGGCAACGGTCTTTCGAAGAAGTTTCTACGGAGTACCAACACCGGTTATCGGACTTTGCCCCTGGCGCTTACACAGTAGGGAGGTGGGTATCTGACCCTATTATCTCTTTGTTGGTCGTCTTTAGTCTCGGATTTCGGTGGTTGTGTTATCTCGGTGGCTTGATACTTGATATGCTTTTTATTACGGCTGAGATGGCTGATGACCTTTGTGGGGGGTTACACTACAGCTATTACTAGTTTACTAGTTTAGTATGTATGCGTAGACGTATGTTGCATAGTTAGCTTAGGATTTAGTGATTGAGCAGTGAGTTGTCCTGTTAAATTCGCCGCGGCACTACTTCTTCTTCGTTGATGAAAGTACTTCCGAAAATGTCGTCATCGTCATTCTTAATCAATCTAATCTAGATCGATAGACGAGAGTATATAGATAGATTGAGCCATAACACCAATAATACCCAACATAAATTCACTCTTATAACCATAAATCAATCAATCTGGCAATTACTTCCCAACCTCACAACTCAACTCCCCCCTCAACATCACAATCGCCATCAACATCAATCTCACTCTCATCAATCAACCTATCCATCCTCCTCACGACCTCCCTCGTAACCCTCACCGTCCTCTGCAACGTATCCATCGCATTCCTCCTAACCCCATCCCCAATTCCCCCATCCATCTCCCCTTCCACCCCCTCCCACACCTCCCTCCCCCTCTCCCTCCATACCTTCCACCACCCCGCAACCCCCATCTCCCGCCGACTCACCATCTCCTCCCTCTTACTCACGCGGTCTTCCCGCTCTGCAACCCTCCTCTCCCGCTTCACCAGTTTCCCCTTCTGCCGCTCATATCGCTCCTGGTACCGCATCTTCAACTCCCCTTCGCGCACGATCCGCATTACCCGGTCTACGGGCGCTGCGTCCTCCGCGCTGAAGTCCCCGGAGATTGTCCGGCTGTTGACGAAGTACATCGTGTTGGATATTTCGTTGGCTAGGTTGCGGAGATGCGTGGCGCGGTGGTTTGGGGCGCTGCTGAGGTGGGTGTGCAGGTCGGCGAGGAGGGTGAAGGGCGTGGATGATGAGGGTCGAACGGGTTGTGATGATGGCGCTGGTGCTGCTGGTGGTAGTGCTAGTGCTGAGGTTGGACGGTGAGGTGGGCCAGGGGAGGGCGTATGCTTGGGGGTTTTCTGAGGTTGGTGATGAGGAGGAAGAGGTGGATGAGGAAGATGGGTCTGACATGGTCTCTTCGATATCATTGTCGGAAGAGGGATCTGACATGGTCTCTTCGGCGTCACTTTCGGATGAGGAAAGCTCGATGATAAGCCCCGATCGAGCGTCGTAGAAGCAAGGAAAGGGGGATGGGCGAGGTTGTCCGTCTCCACCCCATCTTTCTTCGTTGTGTTGCTCTTCTTCTTTTTCTTCTTCCTCTACCTCAAAGTCACATCCAAAGCTTGCTGTATCGTACTCGGCAACAGCTCCTGTCTGTGAACTGATAAGAACCTGTCTTGAAGGGCCCTCGACCACGTTGACAACTTCCTCTTCCTCCTCATAATACTCCGTCTCTTCCCCCATTTCCATCATGTCGTCGTCGGATCCGTAAGATGTGGTATCGTCTTCGTCTTCGTCATCTTCATCTTCATGTTGGAAGACCCCATGGTCCTCCTCACGGTTCATATCCAACCAAGCAGCAACGCCTGCTTGATCCATCTTCTCCCTCGAGGACATGAATCCCTCGTTTGTCTTTCTCTCCTCAGGGCCCATATCCACCCAAGTAGCAACACCTGCTTGGTCCATCCTTTCTTCCGAGGGTAATCTAACTCCCCCATTCGCGTCCGTCTCATTCCACTTCTTCCACTCCTTCCACTCAGGATCATCGTCAACTGTAGCCGACGACGAAGTTTTGGCGTCATCATCCACTGCATGAGATCCTCCCTCATCGAGGTGGGTCATACCCAGCGCGGCAAGCATAGAAGCTTGGTTGGCATTGTACATGTCATCCTCGTCCTCTCCTTTCATGCCGGTCATTCTCATTCCCATGTCCATTCCTGTCCCGGCCACCTGGTAGTGGTCGCACGGACCGTATGGCACGGATGTTTCGTGCATGTTTTGATCACCATAGCCATGGTCATAGTTACCCATCATGTATGTGGTTCGGTATTCTGCAACTGATGGGCCTGTCTCAATGCTGGGGATGGTCGTTGAGCAATTGCCCCAGAAGCGGTTTGCCTCAGTGACAAGCTGTGAGACCTCAATGTTCGAGCAGTTATCCACGAGGGTTTGATCGTTGCTGTTGAAGCTGGTATTGGTAGACACGCCTTGGTCAAAGAGATAGGGTTGGATGATGGTATTATTGTTGCTGTTGTCTTCAAGAGAAGGATCAATGTCGTGGTCGGAGGTAAGAGTAGTGGTGGAGGGCGAGTTGGCGTTGACGGGGTGGAAATTGCGAGACATGAGTGAATGCCACAGTCGTGTATGTGGCTGTCCAGATACAGAACTGGGACGGATGATGTGAATGCGGTATTGGATAGCCTAATATAACGCAAGGATATACTAGGTATCGCAATAGAAACAAGGGAATCAGAGAGATGTGATATTAGGGTTTTGAGTGGTAATAATGTGCTCACTACTAAGGAGTAGCAGGTACTTGAGGGTGACACGGAGGTACCTTTTATAATCATTGCTATACACTATATACGGTGAACTTCGACTGATATTCCCATCAGAGTAATGGTAGAGATCAAATGACATGGTTAAAGTTACACATGTGAAAGACAAATGAGACTTCATTGAAGCTGTTAGTGAATGGGGATGGCTGTGTCGGTGGCTTCCGTAAGTAATGTATTGTGAAGTGAATAAAATTGTGAATCTCAATGAGTTGAAAGAGAATTAGATGGAGGACTCGTCTATTGTTTCATTGCTTTCGTTCACCTGTCCCTCTCTACTTCCCCTTACATAACCCGTCCCAAGTCGCAACTTTCCCTCCAGGCCAGGTGTTCTCCCCAGCGATACCAAATCTGAAAAAGGAGGATTTCGCGACCAGCTAGCATCAACTGCACCTGATCATTTTTAGTCTACTGTGTCTTGGATCTAGTAGCCACTCTTCATTCATTGTGCAGGGTCTTGTCTAGATGAACCATCCTCTTTGTAGGGTCCGTGTCCAGATAATCTAGAATTGACGGCATCTGCCGTACACTGCAATGCCCTTCGCCAATCTCCGACATACCAGCAGGGACTTATCTACAGTGAAAGAAGAGAGGAATACACATTATTGCTACCTGACAACTACAATCCCACCCATCGGGAACGACCACATCCATCAACCATACCTGATCCATCAACAGATAAGATAAGGGCTAACCCCTCCCCACCAGTTTGCATCATTTGCATCTCCGATAACAGCAAATTCCTCTTTTCCATGACGATCATCTCCATTCCCCCTCATCCCAAAACAGAACACATCTCCTTCTCAGGTTCATAACCTCACATTGAACCAAAATGGGCCAAATAGAAGAACTTCCCGACGACTACGATGAGTCGCTCGAAGTCAACAAGCAGCCCCAACAACCCCCCGCGACCGAAGCCAAAGATGAATTCACCCCACCTCCCCCGGAAGAGCTCCCCATCCCCATCAAGGAAGAGCGCCTCAAAGACCTGAATGCGGGCGCGGACCCCATGGCGCCTCAAATGCCGCCTGCCATGGAGGCCGTGAGCACGCACACGACAGACGAGCTGGCGGATATCCTGAACCGCACGCCGCTGTTCATGACGGATATCAACAAGGCGTATGATGAGAGTCAGTTTTCCCTCCTTGATTTCAGTTCTGGAAATTACATTGGCTGGATGATAGGCTAACGGGGTATGTATGTGGGTAGACGGCGAAAACCCTTTCCTTGATGCGATCCGCGCGCTCCAGAACGAGGGTACCCGCGGCGATGTCGCGCAGAACTTCCGTGAACAAGGAAACGAAGCTGCTCGCGAGAAGCGCTGGGCTGATGCGAAGGAGCATTACTCCAAGGGTATTGCGGTCTTGCTGGCCAAGGAGGATAAGTGGGATAAGCCTGAGGATGAGAAGGAGGAGGCCCGGTTGCGGAGGGAGGTCGAGGAGGCGTGCTATATTAATCGCGCGCTGTGCCACCTGGAACTGAGTAGGTGTTTTGTTTTGTCGTGTCCTGAAGTATGGAGCGAGGCTGCTAATGTGGATAGAAAACTACCGATCTACGACCCTCGACTGCGCAGCCGTGCTGAAGCTGAACCCAAAGAACGTGAAAGCGTACTATCGGTCCGCCATGGCTCTGTTTTCGCTGGATAAGATTGTCGAGGCGGAGGATGTGGCGTCTCGGGGATTGAAGCTGGATCCGAACAACAAGGCTCTTCAGATGGTTGCTGGGAAGATCGGCGAGCGCAAGGCTGTGCTTGAGCGCATCGCGGCGAGAAAGAAGGCCGAGGATGAGCGCACGCGTAAGGAGAAGACGCTGCTTAGCGTTGCGCTGAAGGCGCGCCAGATCCGTACTCGCAAGACGGATCAGCCTCCTGAGATGGAGGACGTGGGCATCAGACTTTCGCCCGATCCGTTGTCGCCGGAAAGTACGCTTGAGTTCCCGGCCGTGTTCCTGTACCACATGGATGCGCAGACGGATTTCATCAAGGCGTTCTCCGAAATGCATTCTATCGAGGATCATCTCGACTACATCTTCCCGTTGCCGTGGGATCAGAAGGGAGAGTACAAGATCAATACGGTGGAGTGCTTCATGGAGACGGTTACCGGTGGTTTGATCCGCGCTGGCAAGAAGGTGCCATTGGTACAGATCCTTAGTGGTGGTAAGGTTGAGGTTGTGGATGAGTTGGTGAAGATCTACATTGTACCGACCAGCAAGAGCGCCAAGTTCATTGCTGAGATGAAGGCGCGCAAGGAGGCTTGAAAGCAATCAGTTATTTGAGTCTATTGCAGATGTCGGAAGCCGCTGGGTTATGCCAGGGCCATCTGAATGGACGGCCGTCCATTCGCCTATGTTGCGATCAGTCCCGCGACATTCTCGAGTCGAGCCCAAAGTTGAGCATGTATACATGCCGCCTGGACCGGCTCTTCCATTATATACCCACTGAGGTTTTGCGGCTGATAGCCGTTGTATATAACATCCTATGATGACGCCTAGACTATGAACGCACTTCCTACAACGGACGCATTATATCCAACTGTCAAATTCGCAGCTACACTGGCCATTCTTTGTTTACTGTCCTGCTTTATGGTACTAACATGAACTCTTTCATTTCCCCCACTTAAGATACCGTTCCAGCAGCAAAGTTTGTTTGAAACTTACCTGATATACTCTATTGAACTGAACCGAATGTTCTTATCAGTTATTTTTGGAGCGGTTGCTCGAAACAAGCCTTTCTGAGTCACATACTGCGTTCGGCTGTTGACTTCTTTCTGGGTACCCCACAGACCACCCTCTGAGAATTCAACACCTGCTTATTTCCTTCTCAGTCATATTACTACTTCAGTGGTTATTGCTTTGGAGCCAATATGGACTGTTCTTTCACCAGACATCACACTATACCGGCGCGCTAACCAGTAGACACAAACACCATCTATCACATCATTGGGGGGACAGAAACAGAGACATGTCCCAACCTACTATATACTATAGACATACATGGTTTTGAAACATACCTTCACAGATCCAATCATAGTTCTCTGCTATGCACAGCATGTCTTGAAATCCAATTCGCCGCCAGCATAACCCCGACATTAATGCAACTACTGCCAGTCACTATGAGGTACAAACCGGCACCCAATACGGGTCCGCATCATCATCATCATCTCGTCAACAAAACAGAAAAACATTAAGTGGGTGAGTCAGACATCGCATCGTTACGTTCCAGGTTCCCTAAATTATCCATGTCACTGCCTCACCATGATACGCATACTCCTGGGGGGCTATATATCAGCGCCCGCTTTCTAACCTGGGGCTTCCATCTTCTCCCCTGACTCTGCGAACTCCCATCCCAGACCTATCATCAGTATATTATTATACCAACTCCCTGCCCTATCTTTATATAAAATGTCTGCCCATACGCCACAGACATCCATCCACCTCCCCTTGGAGATTCAAGAGAGGGTAAGTTCTAGTACAGCAGCTTCTTCCCACTCAGATCGTAACCGTTAGCTTCAGATTGCCGATTACGCCACAGCCAACTCCAAATACCATGGCAAGGGGCACCTCAGGACCTTCGCCAGGTGAGCCGGTCATTCTGTGCTGCTGCCTCTCGTGCCCTCTTCACTACCTGCACTGTCTACATCAAAGACAGCACAAATAACAGTCCCTTTTCCGACCTGAACGTCCTCCACCAAAGCAACCTCGGTCGATATATACGCACCTTAATCATCGAATGTCGTCCTCCCTGGGACCACATCCTAACCAATCCCGACATCATCCAACAATGGATCAACCTTCTCTCCACCTCCCTCCCCGGCCTCGTCCGCCTCCGCCGCCTGGAATACCAAACAATAAAGAACGGCACCCCAGACCAAGAGAACCTCTCCCGCCACTTCGCCAACCTCCTCGTCCACTGTTTGAATACTACCCACGCCCCTCCCTCCCTCCAAGAAATCGACTTCCAACATAACTCACCCCAATTCTACGACGGTGACAACGATACCCTATATCCAGCCACAGCACAGCATATCCCTCACCCCGTGATAGCCCGCCTCCGCCACATCCAACTCTCATACACCTCCTCAGCATCGTCTCTCGTCGAGCGCGAGCCAACCGCGATCTTCAGCCTTCTGAGACACGCCCGACGTCTTGTCTCCGTCGAGCTATCTGGCCAAATCGACGGCAGAACCATGGCTGCCAAGTCATGTCCATCTCTCATCCATCCAGATGCGCCGTTGCGGTCTTTCACTCTCGAGAATGTCTCGGTGAGTGCGAAGAGGCTGCGCGGGCTAAGACACTTCAATAAGACCCTACGACATGTAGCATTCCGTGGAGTATCGTTAGCTGCTGGGACGTGGGAGGATGTGCTGTCCGAGCTGGGGCAGTTGGAGGGGCTAGTTCTTCTAGAGGTGGAAATGTGCGGTTACGAGATGACAGCTAAGACGGAGACGGTGGCGGCGGTTGTTGGGGGTTTGCTGCCTAGTCCTGAGATCGCGACCTCACGGTGTGCGGATCTTACGGCGTTGGAGTTGTGCGTTGCTGCGGTTAAGCGGCATAGGAATATGATCGGGTATGAAGCGATTTCACAGGTTGTGGATCCCTTTGGAAGAGATATCATTGTCTGTTAGATTCTTGACACTTCTTATCTCATTTGGATACTGTGTGTTTTCGTATCTGTGAGGGTGCATTTATGAGTCTTTTTTTTGGTTAAATGGTTGTTCTCGTCTCGTTACCTTCCTATCCCCCAAAGGCCTGTCTGCCTCTTTGTGATGATTCATTTCATCCATCTTCGTCATCGTCAAACACAATGAAGACCGTCCCGGATAATGATAACGCCTTTGACTGAATCGCACGGGCACGGACATAGCAAGCTCATGCTCATATATACTCGAACACAGTCGTGAGCAGGTGCTTTTAAAGAAGGGGAAGTGCAATCAGCATTCAGATATACTATTTTCTCGGAGATGAGGTTGAGTAACCTTTAGCGCTTATTGTTAGAAGGGATATGGATTTCCCGTCCAATCAATCAATCTAATCTAACTAAATCAAACCTTTTCAGTATGGATGGTTTTTTCTTCTTTCTTCACAGAGATCTGTTGTATTTTCGTAGTGCCATCTGTTTATCAATTCTCTTAGCTTAGGTTGTCAAGTAATACACTTAATGTGGCGTAATGTCTATCATTTTCCCATTTTTCACTTTCTTTTTACGTTTTCTAAAAGCCATGTCTCTGGTATACACATCTAACACGGCCATGCTCATCACAGAATACTATACAGTCCCGCCCTGCACTCACTCCAGATCCGGCTCGATATCACTGACTCCATCAAACCCTTCGTCCATAGCATCCGGGTTCAAGTTCGCAGCATCCGGCGCAATGCCGTCTTTATATTTATCCTTGTCATGAGACACGGTCCGCCAGCCGGAAGGCTGGGACTGGTCTTTGATGTACTCGGACATGGGGAACTGGTGATAGATGTGTTAGTTTACCACCTTTTTCGAGATTTGGTAGAGAAAAAGATAGGGGGGGGATTGTGACATACGTAATGATCGTTCTTCTTCATGGTCACTACCCACGGCACATTGTCAAATGTCACCGCGCGAAGGCGGAAATATGTGTTGTCGGGGATTTTGCTCACTTCTTCGGAGAAGCGGTCCAGGTTCGGGGTGGGGACACCGTTCACGGCGGTGATGAAGTTGGTTGGTGCTAGGCCGTATTGGTAGGAGGGGGATCCGCGACTCTGTAAAATGGATGGTTAGTTACCTAGGTGGCAGTGGCAAAAGGCCGGGGGGAGGGGAGCATACTCTTGCGCTGACGTAGACTTCGCTGTGCAGCTTGGAAATCTGCTGACGGACCGCATGGTGTGGTTTCTGCAACACAGCACCACAGAACACGACGGCACGGTCAGTCTCTAGGTCCTCCGTTGGGACAGTCGGCACCTGGATCCGCATTTCTTGTCCGTTTCGGACAATCAGTGCTTCCAGCGTATCCTTTTCGTACATGATATCCAACTCGGAGACGCGGGTGATCAGCTGTCCGTCCAAGGTCAGGATGATATCACCCTCCTCGAACGTGTCGGCCGCCGAGTTGAATCCAGGCGGTGGACAATCGACCTTGCGCACCATGAAGAGCTGATGCCGCGATGGGTTAGCTTGCGTCACCTTCTCGATCCATTCCTCCGACACGCCCATGATGCGAGCTTGACTCATTTGAACCACGTAGCTCTCCATGTTCAGAATCCGCAATTTAGGCATCTCTCCCTGCTGCACCTTTGACAGGACAGGGAGAAGAGATGGGGTCGCAAATCCTAGATGGTATTCCACATCTTTATGCGAATTGGACGTGCGTTCTCCCAGGTAGTTCAACCACAATGCCTGCACAACTCCGTCCTCGCCAATCAGGACACCGTTGGAACACTGCCCGCTGAGCCCGGTGTCCACAGTGATGGCGTCCAAATTGATCGCACGGTAGCGCGGTGCGGAGGCATTGGCTGGAATAGAAACAGTGGTGATGTCGGTTACGGCGGTCTTGGCCACAACAATCCGGAAGTTCTGATTGAATCCGACGAAGATCGTGTCCTGTCCCTGCTTGATGTAGTCGGTGCTGAGTTTGGCACTCTGAACAGGTGCCTGCACCAGGCTTGGGTCGTACTGGATGATGCTGTAGTTCTGAAGCGGGTGCAGGAAAACTACTTTAGCGTTCACGATGATGGAGTCGGCCACCGTGATGTTGATGTCGCAGAGGTCATACGGCACGATCGCTCGCGACACAACCACCAAACCCTTGTCTGCATCGACGACCAATCCGAATCCAGTCTTCTTGGCCTGGGGGTAGCCGTCCAGCTTCAGGGGCATCGTACAGGATACCCGTACGAAGCTGCGCACAATGTCAGCCGCAGCAGGCTGGCTTACACCGTCGAGTTGGATAAAGTCGGCTTTCCTCGGAACCGGAGGAAGAGCTGGGATAGGATCCGCGAGGTCCGAAAAGTCCCACAGACCGGAGTTGTCGTTGCGCACAGCCAGTCGCATCTTCGGGTGCCAGTGTCGATCGATATAGACGATGCTGGTGCCGCGGGTGTGGAGATCGCGAATATGCCGATACGAGATCACCACGCGCGAACGATCGGGGATTGTTCGCATCACTTCCACGAACTCATCGAGATTGCGAGTGGGTCGCTTGTCCACCGAGTCGATGATCCATCCTGAGAGGGTGTTTTCCAGCTTGAAGGAGCCTGCAGCCTCGCAGACGTAAACACCGCGAGTAGCGATGGCATACAGCCGCGACTGCTGGTAAGACAGGTTATGGAACGTGCCTCCAGCCACCGTCACAAACCGGTCGGGCGTGATGGCATGCAGGTCGCCAACCTGGCACTCAATCTCCACATTCTGACCGCCTCTTTGAACGAGCAGATGCACCGTCTGCCCAACACTCGAGTCCAGGATGTCATCCAACCGGATGAATTGGGTGAGAAGCTCCCCGTTGACCTGCAGAAGCACGTCTCCTTCTTCGAGCTTTCCGTCCGCCGGGCCTTCAGGCAGAATGATCTCGGCCACCAGCATGCTGGTTTCCGTGGGCGCTGCTTTACGCACGGTCGCCTCCCACTCGGGCGTCAAGCCCAACCGACGACACTCATCGAATGGCTTCAGGATCCACTGCGTCTGAATCGTTCCACGCGTGACAGGCTCTCCGCGACGGATGCATTCCAGTGCGCGTAGAGGTCGGTCCAGAGGGAGGAAGTAATCCGTCGCTGCACCGTCTGCACGACCACCGGCCTGCAGAGCAATCGCATGACCATCAATGTTGACTACAGGACTGCCGGAACTTCCACCGCTAGCTGCTGCTGCAGCCTGGATATAATTCGTATTAAAGTCACTGTAGCCATCGCCGTATTCGGGCGCGTTTCTATCCAGTCGACTAATGACACCAGACAGAATACTCAATTTTTCTCCTGCGTCATTACCAACGACGCGAATTTCAGATCCCACTTTAGCTGCATCCGGCTGCAGTTTCAGCTCCCTCAGTTTCATATATCGAATAGCCTTCGGATCGAACTTTAGAATTCCAAAGTCGTGTACTGGGTCCCGATACACGGGACGGACGTCGCACTAACGTAACCAATACGAATCAGCATTCCTGTCCCAAGAAAGATCTACATGCGGAGAGAGCACAACTTACTTCCTCATGGTTATCAAAGATGCAGTATCCCCAGAAAGGTCCCGGGCAAACCACGTGTCGATTTGTCAATATGTATCCATTCTCTGCATCCACCACAAACCCGGTAGCCTGACTACTCATAGACAGCTCCGTGTCAAAGGAGCAGGTCTGACAGAAGTGGATAGATACAACGCTCTTCACAACCTCCTCTATGGTAGCTTGCCATTCCGGCGAATCAGCCTGAGCAGGCCCTACAGGCAGCAGACGACCCGCATCTTCATCATCCTCCACATCATATACCGTCCCATTGGCGGGAGTTGAATCCCCAGGTGTCAATGCGCTCGATTCGGGGCGAAGGTGCTTTACAGGCCGTTCAGCGGGGGTGGTGATAGAGCTGCGCTTGCGCTTGGCGCCTGCATCTCCGTTCAAATCCATCGGGTCTGCACAAGAACGTAGAGCACTGGGTCTCGTAGAGTGTATAATGAGCGAGCTGAGAGAGCGGATGGGCGCCTGACCAGGGCAGATGCTCGTGGTGACACCGGGCGCTGCAGCGGCCGAGCACAAAAAAAAGTGTCGACTAGAGCGCCAATAGGCAGAAAATCTAGGATTGCGAGTAACTAGTGACCTCGCAGGCGACAGGGTGAATCCGATGGGATTGGCGATAGAGCGATGAAGAGGCGAATAAGTATTAGAACGAGACGGCGGCGATGACGGCGGCGGCGGCGCGGCGGAGGTAGAGGCAGCGGCCCTCGCAACAGAATTGTTCGTAGCGACAGACAGTAGGCTCCTTCTGTGGATGTGGAGCCAGACGCAAGACATTCACAAGACCCCCTAACAAGAGAGACTGCAACAGAGAGGGGCGGATGACGAGGACCGTGAGGAAGGAGGAGAAAAGGAACTGAAGTCAGGCGAGCTGCAGTGGCAGACAGAACTGAAAAGGGAACCGGGCGGACACCTCGATTGACGCCCTCTGATTGGCCCTGGCCCGGCGGAGCTGCGGCGTCTTCTGACCTGATCATTCAGGCCAGCAATTCATCCATGATGCGATCCTACTCCATAAACAAGTTTTCTACAATAGCAATGCAGTACCGTGCAGTAACTATATATATCTCTATTATATATGATTCTATATCCCCAGACTCTATCGTACACTCGGACCTCCGCATCCCATCGTTTGTAGCTACCATCCACTTCTGGTGCTAATGTTCACATGTTCGTCCCATTTGGTCGCCAACACTGTTTGTGTATCTTGCAACGCTTCACGATCCTAAATTAGAAGTACCCAGTATATTAAGTACCTCTTTCTTCAAATAGAGAGCTGCCTTGAGTTGGACTGTGGGCTTTCATCTGATGGCTCATCATTGAGAGAAGAGTTTGTGGCGCAATATAGACGCGCGCGATGCCCATTCGAAGGCTCGTCGGATCGTAACTCGAGGCTTGACTTAAGTGAACAGCCGGTCAGGGCAGGGGCCTCATGCAACTATGGGCGTATAGGCGGGATGCAGGAGCGACGGTCGATTGCTCTCTACCTTGAGCCAGTACGCTCAGCTCCCCGTAGAGCTCGCACTACGCGCAACACATCATGTTTTGTTGTCGATATGACCTCTTCAAACAACGTGTTCAACAGCTGGAGAAGGACTGGGCCGGCCATTGCCATGCAATGATTGTGGGCTCTGCTGGGGTGTCCCTATACCACCTTGCGCGGCCCGAGGGAAGAGCTCGTTGAGTTTGTTGTAGATCTCATTCATTGAAGGCATGTTTGGAGGCGGTGACATGATCGCCGGTGCGGCAGGAGGAACTCCCCCTGATTTCTTAGCCCGGTCGGCAATGGTTGCAAGGTACCCTAAGTTGGCTTGTAACCGACGCATACATTCGAGATATTCTGCGCTTGGCCGCTGGGTGGGCTTATCCGAGGTCTGATCTGAACCAGGCGACGGGTTCGACTCTGACGCTCCTTGCGAAGGCGCACCAGCCTTGCCAGCCGCCTGAAGATTCATGACTTCTTGCAGCAACATCGAGTTTATGTCCAACAGCGTAGACACACGCGCCTTCTCGCGCGCGGTCGTTGCAGGTGACTGAGGAGCAGGTTGGGCGGAGCTTGACAATGGGTTCTGCTGGGGCGCTGCCCGTTGCTGTTGCTGTTGCGCGGGCATCATGTTAGTCGCCGGTACCGAAGCCATGTTGGGCGGAAAGGATTGCGCTGTAGTCGCGGGAAGAGTCGATGTCGCAGTCGCCTGGGGAGGGAGATACTGGCTCATAGACGTTGCTGGCACAGGTGGCTGGGCAAATGGTGCAGAGAAGTTGGCGTGGGGTCCTACTAGTCCATTCGGATGGTTAGCGGCTAGTCCTTGCGGCCAACGTCGCCTGCGCACTTTGGCCAGGAGGGAAAAGGAAACAACGAACAACAACACATTAAGGAAGAGGATGACGGGCAATCGTAGCGCAATAGTGGATACGCGTCAGGCCATTAGCACATACACGTACTTGAACTACTAGACCAGGCAAGGTCCAGTAGATTCAGTATGGGAAAAGAAACCCGGCGCCATGGAGCAGCCGTGTGTAGATCAAAGGGGCAAAAGGTGGGGAAGCAATGACAGGCCTCAAGAAGATCAAAGAATTACATGGAGTAGCGAAACAGTAGTGACAGAGAAAAAGAGCTTGGAGATAACAGGCCAGGGGGGAGTTAAAGGAAAGATCCCGACGTACCGGATGACTGCTGGGGGAACCCGGACGGCATCATTGCTCCACTAGGACCGGCTTGCATGGGCACGGCACCGAAAGGAGTATGCTGGTGTTGCTGCTGTGGAGGATGAGAGACAGCTTTGGATTGGGGAAACGGGGGAATGGCATTCGGATAGTAGGGGAACTGCTGTGGATTTTGGGGAGTGACAGGAAAACCCGCGGTCTGCTGCATCGCAGAAGGGAGTCCGGGAACGTTGGGGTCCATGTCGGTCGATAAGAGCAAAGAGGAAGGTCAATCAATGGTTGGGCCAGGCCACAAGCTTTCTTCTCTTTTTTTTTCGTTATTTTTTAATTCTTTTTCCCTTTCTCTTCCTCCTCTAAATTTTTTCCCTTCTTTTTTTTCTTTTGGTATTAATGTTTCTGGTTAAATTAAAAACTTCCACGGATCAGGTCCGCAGCAGCGACAGTCAATGTCGGTCGCACACTCTGACTCGCCGGAATCCAGGGATGGGCGGGATGAGACACTAAGCCAATTCCTCTAACGACTTAGTGTCCTGGCGATTGCGCTGCTTAATTCCGTAGAATATTCTTTTCTGGAACGATCCACGACGAGATAGAAAAGGGTAATATGAAAGGGCCAAAATAATAAAATTAAACTGGAAACAGAGGGGCGGTGATTGGCCGATGGGGACACGACAGCCACAAGAGTCTCAAGAAGGGGGGTGTGGGATAATAGAAGGGCCGGCAGATGGGAAGGACAGACCCTGAAAGCGACAACTTAGTCAGGGTGGGTTAGTGTAACCTCTGGCAAAAGTAAATCCGTTAGTCACAAGTCAGAATCCTCAGTTGTGACCGCAGTTGTTGAGTCAAGTCGTATCAAGTGAGCGGACGGAAAGGAAGGAAAGAGATTTGCTGGTCCGTCGAGTTGCGATCAGCCTTGGGGCGGACGGACTAATGCACTGGATGGGATTCGTCCGGGCGGTGGAGTGGAGGAGAGAGAGTGTGTGAGAGAGAACACAGGGGACGGATGGGGGGAGAATGTACTCCGGTAGTACTTACTTAGTAGATACCGTAGTAGAAAGTAAAGGCACCTAGTGCGGTCAGAAATTGACAATGGAAAGGTGGATCGCGATGCAGGACAGCCTGAACCAGAGAGATTTTGATGAAATGAATCACACGCAATTTCTCCCCGAGTATGAAGTGACTCGAGAGGAGAAAGAAGAGAGGAAAGGGGAAAAGGAAGAGGTGGCCGCAAGTCCAAATATCGTGGTTGTCGTAATCATACGTGTATATAACATGTAACGTATTGTTTAACTTCTTGATTTATAGTATATTTTGTGCATATATGATTATATTCTCAGCAAAAAATTACGTATTGTTACATACTCAATATCAAGGTAACATACCACAACACCCCAGTATACGCCAGGTACCTGAGGCATCCTCCATCTATAGCAGGTAGACTTCCCGCTTAACTTGATTGAGCTTACTTCCATCACCCACTCACTCTTCTCTCCGAACAATATAAAGGACCTCTCTTCATTTGACTGGCTTGTTTCGATAGCACGTCGAAGATGTGAATATGCTTGAATTACATTAATACTCTCACTTTCCCCAACATCGATCGGCCATTGGCCTCGATCGAGGTTTCCCAAGCTCTTCATGCATGAACCGTCCTAAGTTGGTAGATCCAGCTACTTAAAAGACAGACTCAGCTTATAGCCTATCAAAGCAGTCAATACGCGGCATCCATACCGCTACATTTGCTCTGGGATGACCTCTTAAAGCGATACCTTCCCAGCAGCAACCCGAACTCAACAAACGTACGACGAACCCAGGACGAACTATGGGACACCCGACAGGCACCCCCGAGTGGATCTCCTTCACAGAACTGGCAACTTTCTAGAAACGCGGGCGTCGCCATGACTGGGCAACCTCCAGCTATCTACTAAACATAAAAAATCCACCTCCTATCCTCTGCGAGGCCTTGTCCTGCCACATCGGGGAATTCTTCCCTATCATGTCCAGTTCAACTTGAGCCATCACTTGAATTACAAATTAGAAGCTCGTTCTCTCCATACCTACTCACCAACACCACAATTCACTAAGTAGTAGTCCTCATATACGAAAAACAATCCGCGGGTACTTCTTCCGCTTCGTGCCATTCATGTCGGCAAGTACATATGGCAGCATCCATGCCGTGGCGTGGCGTGGCGTGGCGTATTACCTCAATGCAATTAAGATGAGCTGCAAACATTATTGACCAGGGTAAGGAAGCTTATTGACTTTCGGCTTCCTCTCGATTCTGATAGTGATGCACGGAATTGATATACCTCCAGGACTCGGAAGGTTCGATAGCCAAGCTGTCATAGATTATAGCACCAACCTAGCAGAAGCACAGACTTGACCGACATGGCCCGAACCTTCAGCATCTTTGGAGATGGAGCGCACACTATGAATCATGTGAACAATCAGGCAGCCTGTCTGTCAGTCGACTGGCAGCTTACTATCTGTCGATGATCTACCCTCTGGCGCAGCCATCGCCAACAATAGTTTTGGATGAAGGCTCCGTCCCACCTGCAGCAAAGTTTTCCTCGTCGAGCCGATGTTATTTATTTATAAACCATGACAGAAGGGAACCTCGGCCGTACTCAGTAGGTTAATAAATTGCTCGTTACTTCCGGAAGCTCTCCGGTATGCATGTCGGGCGTTCAGCCACCGTGACAGGTCACCGTATCATATGCAATATGCACTCCTCTGCAGTCTCGCCGGCCGACACATCATACATCGAACAGATGTACGTCCCCCTCCCAACGACACCTGGAACAGGCGGATAGGGCCGTACTACTTCATCAACTGGTTTGGGAATCTCTAAGAAGGTGCTTATCTTGAATGGCCCTCTGTGGCATTCGGTTGCAGGCCAGGCATGCTGCGGTGGTTTCCTCGGTTCTGGCGGGATTATCGCGAATTAGGTGCTTCCAGTACGCTCAGGCATCTTCCTGTTCGCCGATGGTTGCTTCTGACCAGTGACCACACACACATGTGGGTTCTTTGGCCGCGATCTGTCACAACCTTGTCTCGGCAGAGGCGGGGCTCCCATCCGTCGCGTCAGGATCGGTTTAGCCATCGTTCGATCAGACATGATCCGAAGGCAAACGGGCCAATGACCTTGGTGGGCCTGCGGCAACCGCCTCCGTCACGTCCCCATAAGGGTCCAGCTACGGAGTACTGTGTGAGTGTTTAGTTCTTTTTTGTTGATGATTTATTCCCCTTTACCTTTGTCTTTATCTTTTTTCTTCTTTTTTTTATCTTTTTTCTGATGAAAATCATTCGATTCTTTCTAGATTCTTTCCATCTGCACTCTTTTCCAAGAAATCCAGGGTAATGCTGTAATTTTACCCTCCAGGTTTTCGGGACACTGGCTTGGGCATCCCAACAGCAAGCTCATTATAGCCACGAAGTACCGCAATGTGGCAAGGCTGCCTTTGATCTAGACTCGACCAAGTCACTACCTGACATCTGCCATGTGGGTAGCAGGAACGATGGCCAGCAATGGCGTTGTGTTGTCCGGATATCCAAATGGAGAAAAAAACAAACATCGAATATGATGCGGTACAACAGCGATAGTCGCCACTATGGGTCACGGCAGCCTCGCAACTGTTTTCCGACCCCAGTATGTAATAGGTATCGCATAATTTCCTGTCTGGACTGGCACTTCCGTCAATGCTAGGTCAACTCATGATCCTCGACTCCATCCGTATACACATCGGGAAACCCGCATTGGGAATCTTTTGACAAATGGGTGAACACCGGAAGTGGGAGGTGCCGTCGCATGTCCGGTGCATCGCTTTGAGATATTCGGTGGTCCACGTAGAACGAACCGCCCTCCAGCCACTCCGGGCCTACGGTACTCGACCATCCGCTATTGACTTTTGCTGGTACCATGACAAATGTCCTCCTCGGGATAATCCGATATGGTGCCTGGCGTGTTGGCTACTATCTGGTGACAGCGTCTGCCCCGCCGGCCAGCCAGGTCGGATCTCAGAGCGAACCATGGATGGACAAACTGCACCTTTCTCTGTCTGACACCCGACGCATCAGGCAAGGGGAAGGTGTTCGGTAGAATAAAGCAATATCTGGAAGAGGCAATCGCGTAGATAGGAGAAAATAAGACACGAAGTCTTCCATAACGGGAAAAGGTAGGCAGACGAAATGGCACATCCGCATGCTATCGAACGAGATAGAGTATGTATTGCAGCCTCCATTAATGCGCCAGCGGACCTATTGGACCCTCGGCTCGAGGCGATCTTGCTAATCTTTCTAGCAGGTGGCATAACCTGCTACGACGGTACGACTGTCTGAAATGGTAGTGTCCATGCTACTCCGTACACAAGACAGATTCATCCACAAAGCCTATTCCATAGCAACTAAACAAACCCCAGCTTGGGGAAATGGGACTATAATCTCGAGATATGACCAACCGGGAGGGCGAAACAATCTCTTGAAAGATCCACTCTGATAGCTAGCCACTTTCTCTATTCCAAGACTGCCAGCAGGACCGGACTTCAACCTGACCCTCTCTCTCGAGCTCGGTGATTGGAAGCAACGACGCAGCATAGCATTAGTTCCTACGCCCAAATGCATGCGAGCGGATAAGGACCCGTCGGCTGCTGTGCCACATAGGGCCACGCACATTAGTGACACAGCTTGGGCCGATCCACTGACCTGGTTGCGACGGTCCATCATTACGGTGTACTGGAAGTACTATAGCCTAGTCTGAACTTGAGTTGCTTTTTCCTTCCCCTTCGGACGCGGTCCTGGAGGCGAGCCAACGGTTTAATAATTTCTAATAGAGACAGGAAATATATTCGCGCACGCATATAAGATTGCATGAGGGGCGTCGCGGATCCGGAAACGAAACGAAGCTGAAGCCCAGGTTGAGGACGATCCGGTAAGCTTAACACGGCGAGTGGATCTATTGGCCACTCCCCCCATTCTCTTTGCAATATTGCTGGTCTTTGCCTCTTGCCTCAGTCCTGTTCTTTTAAAAATGCTCCTTCTCGTGCCTTGCTTCTGAGACTCACTTCTTTCAACTGTACACGCTTCTTCTCTGTCTCCTGCGCGACTGCGACCAGAAGCCTGATCGAACTCTTACAGGTCATCCCACTGAAAAGTATACCTTGATCCCTTGAGAGTCATCACATTCAAATCTCTTGTTTTCTGCTTCCATGGTATGATTGATGGCTGTGGCGATTGTTATGGCAACGCAAGCTGACTGTGCCAGTCTCACACTCCCGTGTCCATGGATGCGCCATTAGACGGGCTGGCTTGTATGCACTTCGCCCTCATCTACATAGACGACAATGGCAAATTACGTTTCGAGGCCTCGCAATCCATCGCGAACAACTGCCAGACGATCCTCTCTCCCAGCGTGACGGAAAACTTTCTGCGTGCGGTGGCACTGTCGGGCAAAGGTGATCCATCCAAAATGCTCGGTAGGGTTCCTTGTCGACGTCTCGCACGGATACCTTGTTGACACCAACACAACAACAGAAGACATCAGAGGCAGAAGCCCACTCTCCCCAGAATCTCCAAGCGCCAGCGATTTATCAGCTAAACAAATGTACTTGCGCCCTTTCTCAATCTCAATGCGACCCAACCACTGATCATCTTCAGGTTCCACTCCACCACAGAACCTCCTCAGTCCAAAAGGAAGCGGGTATCCCATGAATGCCTCGTTCCCATGAGCATCACCTGTCACCAGAAGTCCATGCTGCCCGTGCGCAATACCGGCCTTCTGCGCAGATACTATGAGAAGGCTTTTGACAGCCTGCAGCAGATCAACTGTCGCATCCTGGCCAAAGCATACATCAAGCTCGTGGAGCCCCGGAAACAAGTCAACTATCCATACAATGGACGCAAGATCATATCCGGATCATCGCAGCAATTTGACCCTGAGCTGACCAAGCCAGCCTGGTGGCCGGCGGGTGTTACTCACCGTGAACCAGATCATCTTCTGAAGGCGGGTGTGTATTTCATCACTCTGCTTCGTCCATCAGTTGCGCTAACGTTGGATGTAGAGCGTATCCGCCTGCTTGTCCATATTCTCTGCGAGCTGCGTGAAAGTCACGCTATCTGCGTGGAGAAATTGAAGGAAGCCGACCAGTCTGTACGGCGCCAAATTGCTCCCGTCGAACGTATCCCCGTGCTCGATGAGATCTACCACGTACGAGAGGAGGAAGAACGATACCTAGACGGTCGAACAGGTAAGCGCCTCCCATCCACTATTGGGTTATTGGGTCTTTTGGACATGTCTCATACTTAGCAACTGCAGATGGCTCCGCCGTGATTTGCGTTTCCCGCGTCCACCTCCCCGAGCTCACCGACTCCCAAACTCTGGGCTCACCCACCCAGACCCTCAAGGAAAGCAATCCCGTCTATAGGAAGGAAATTCCTGATCTCGAATCACACACATCCGTCTTTCCGTCCACCGCCACCACATCCCCGCTCACGTCAAAGCCACCCACATCGAAGGCGTCAGACCCCTGCAAGCCTCCTATCCCTACAGCATGGGATACCGACGCATCGGCCTCGTTCGCGCCGCTAAAGCGTCACCGCGAGGGCGACTATCCTCTCGACCTCACCGGAGGGGCCATGTTCCACCAGGAGCCAGCAGCGGCAGCAGCAGCAGCCGCGACAACAACCTTGGACGCCAATCCTTATTCAATGAAGTATTACCCACACAGCCAAGCACAGCAGTCCTTACCTGTTATGGGGCTTTCCGGAGATCTTGGGAGCTGCACACATCCATACTACTTTAATTATTAGACTTCTTTTCCCTTTGTTATGGGTTTTCTTTGTTTCCTTTGTTTCTCGGGTCCGGTTGGGGTTTTAGCAGGGCGTGATGACGGTCGTGTCTTCCTCTTTCTTTCTTTCCTTGTTTCTTTTGTCCTCGTCATTCATGTAATGCGGTTATTGGGAGGAACGGCCTAAAAGAAGGGACATACTCATATACCATAATACTTACTTAATATTTTCACCAGTGCGGCGGGAGCACCATCAACCCCAGGATACATGCTTTGTCTTCCCTTCTTCGTCTTTTTTCGGTTGCGATTTTTTCAGGTACATATATAATGAGGGGGACGGGGAGGGGGATGAAGTTGAAGACTTGAAACGAAAAGTTGGTGTACATAACGATATACAGAAGACTAATCGAACCAGCCCGCAGAAGGGAGAATCCTGAATCTGAAAACAGCTCAGTAGTATAGACAATGACCATTCGCATGATCCCAGAATGATGTGAAAAGAAGAGGAAACATACCCACCTCTTATACCAACTCGACCTCCTCCAGAGAGAAAGAGGGAAAAAAAGGCACCGAGTTACCAAGCCTGCCAACTCTCTTTAACCTTCAGATTTCGTTTCGAAAAGCAAGGGATGCCTTGCAGTGTTTTCCGTGTGCTTTGGCCTTCATTCAGATCTCGGTAGATCTTACCTGCCTTGCTCCAGAATCTTGTTTCAACTGACACTTGCAACGCACAAACCCCTCCAGTTCCCAGTTTCATGGGACTGGAAACAAGTTTGGTTTGAAGCTGCTCTTACTCCGTGGTACTCTTCTCTACTGTGACTATAATATACACACATATACACGCGATGGTGATGAGCAGATAGATATCGTGCATTGGCCTCTTCTCCTTCCAATCTCAAAAAATGCTAACTGCCTGATTGCGTGTACATCCATCCATCCATCCATCCATCCATCCATCCCTAGATACGCTTTCAGTTGAACGCCGTTTAATTATTTATTTATCGGGTATATTGATTACTTGGCTGTCATGTTCGTTTTTTTTTTCTTGGCTAGTAGTGCAGAGGCAAAAGCTTTTTCAGCTAAGCCATGTTGCTTCCACTTTTTCTGGGGTTCAGATCATTGAATTTTGCGGGGTTTGAAATCGATATTTGATTTAAGTATATCCCGGTTTTACACTGCATTTGCTCTAGAATACTAAAACTACTACTATGTATTGTGGATTATTGTTCGCTACTTATTTACTTACCTTTGAGGTCAGTCAGTCAACCCTTCTTTTCTTTTCTTTCTTTTCCTTTTCATCTTAGTACCTTTTTTCTCTTGCTTTGAGTGACATAACTTCTGGGTAAATTGAAGCAGTGGATGAGTGTGGCGTAGCCGTGTATGCATGATCATAATATAAGTATTGGCGGTTGAAATTTGATTGAAGTTTGCTGATTCATGTCCTGCATGCAATCCATGTCTGCGTAGGTAGTAGTAGTTGCCTTGTTGTGACTAATATAAATATATCGGGGTGCGGGGAGCATAACCTAGACTAAGTAGTACTTGGCTTTTTGGCCTGACTGCTGCTTTTAGTAGGGTTTGACTAAAAGTATTGTATATGTACTTGGCATGTATAGACACAGAAGTATATCATTGAAGATGGAGTAAAAGATCGAATAGAAGGTTTCAGGGGTACTAGGTAGGTGAGTTAATTGTTGACATTCGGGATTTGAACTATTTACCAAGTGTGGGCTTTGTTGGGCTATATATTAATATAAGTACACCTCTTCCATCAACTAGCATCATTGGTCTAGTGGTAGAATTCATCGTTGCCATCGATGAGGCCCGTGTTCGATTCACGGATGATGCACAGAAATTTCTTTTTTGTGTTTTTGGGTTGGCTAGCTGCTATATCAGTACTAGTGGTAGTCTTTTTGGTTCCCGTTGCCGCTCCCGCTCAGGCTAGTTTAGGTAGGCCCCGTAAACATAAGAATTGTACTCCGTAGGGCTGTACGAAACTACACTGGAAACATTGAGCGTTGTCATATGGAGTTGAACTACTTTGTCATGGTGATGCGTTGGGACTTTATACCAAGTACATACTGCGCAATATATATCGTGACTAGAAACGCTAGTCTGTATCG